GCTTTCTGTTGCTGTGATAACCAAGGCAGAAACCGGGAGACAGAGACTGAAGTGGAGACCATGGAGGAACATTGCTTACTGGCTCTCTTCCTCCTCCTTGGTCAGATACGTTTCTTTGACAGACCAGGCCCGCTTGCTTGGGGATGACACCACCCAGTTAACAGTTAAGAAAATACCCCATAAGGATGGCTACATGCTAATCTGATGGAGGCAATTCCTCAATTGAGGTTCCCTCTTCCCCGGTGACCCTAATTGTGTCATGTCGGCAAAAACCCACCAGCTCATCTGGCTTTTTCCAAACTAAGATGGTCTTGAAGAACAAATCCTCACTGTTAACTACCTTCATCTCCTAATCTCACCCTTACCCAAAGTACTGGCTAGTTTTGTGTCAACTTGACACGAGGTAGAGTGATAAGAGAAGAGGGAGACTCAACTGAGAAAATGCTTCCATAAAATCAGGCTGCAGGCAAGCCTGTAAGGTGTTTTCTTCATTCATGATCAGTGGGGAAGGGCCCAGGCCATTGTGGGTGGTGCAATCTCTGGGCTGGTAGCCCTGGGTTCTATAAGAAAGCAGGCTGAGCAAGCCATGGGAAGCAAGCCAGTAAACAGCACCCCTCCATGGCCTCTGCATCAGCTCCTGCCTCCACGACTTCCTTTAATGATGAACTGTGATGCCTAAGTACAAGCCAAATTAACCCTTTCTTCCCCAAGTTGCTTTATTCCTGGTGTTTCATCACAGCAATAATCACCCAAAGTCACCATTCGTGCCTAGCCCTGCCTGAAATATCTCAGTATCAATCCATTCACGTGAAGCGGTTTCTCAACTATTTCTCTGGGTGGAAGTCTCTCCCTTTGTTTCATTTGCAGAGGTTTAGCCTCTTTAATCCTCCAGATGGCAGGAACATCCAATGGCATTGTCAGGTGATAACAATCAAATGCCTGGAGACATTGCTAATGTCTCCCAATGGAGACTCATTAAGGAAGAGTTCACATCCTCAAGAAGGAATTAGTGTGTTTACCTACCTGCTAAAATGTGTATTAGAGCTCTCAAGAGATAGAGAGGCTACCCGAAATGCATGCGCAGAAAGGGGAAGCTTCTATTATAAAGAAGTGGGATGAGGAAGATGTCTCGGTGGTTGAAGCCCTTGCCATGCAAGCATCGTGCCCTGACAACCACATAAAAGTGGAGGGAAAAGAAAAAACTGACATCACAAGTTGTCTCTGGCCTCCACAAATAAATTATAAAAAACATAAATTTTTCTACCATCATGCAATTAGATGTTAGCGGGATAATTCAAATCTGTAGTCCAGATAGCTAAGCGGGAGGCCCAGGAGAGCAGAGGTGAATTGAAAGGCTGGGAAGGAGCCTCCCTGTGAAGTTTCGCCAGGATCTCTGCATCAGTGGTGCAGATCTTTAGCAAAGACCTTCAGACTCCAGCTAGTGTGTACTCTCTCCAGCTACTGTGTACTCTCTCCAGGATCCCTGCCCGTCCTGGTGGCAATGAACTCCTTTCGAGTCGACACTTGCACTAACTAGGAAATTCTCCTGACCTGAGTAGGTCAGAGCTGTCTGCTAGCTACTTTCATTGAACTCACCGGTCTTCTTCAAGGCAATTATCACTACAAAGTCATGGAGGCTTTTTCCTTTATATCTTTCTCTGTATTTCTAGTACCTAGGTGAAAGTAAGTATTCGTAGAATATTTATTTACTGAACAAATTAATGAATTAACATGTACCTAAACTATAGCCTCCTTTTTCAGATGATAATTGACTAATTGAGTGAGGTTTCGACGGTCTAAATTACCACTTTTAATTCATATAAGAAATGCAGGGTGTTTGACAAAGTCAAGGTTAACCGCTTATATGGGTGATATTACTGATACCCCAGACCACAGCCGCTTCCTCATGCTAACTCCTTGAAGAGCATACACTTGGTTTTCAAACATACATTCCCACGTTTTGAGATCCAGTGGTTGGGGACGGTGAGTCTGCCAGTTACCCACTTATCACCTCTGAGCTTCAAATTCACCCTTTACTGTGCTGCTTTGCAAGCGTGGAGTCAAAACCTGAAATGGTTCTCCGTTTTCAGTTGGTGCCATTTTCAGCATCCTGGGCCATGGTATCAACAGAGGGGCAGTGTCGGGACAGAGACTTGTGTTGGGTAGGTGTATCTGCTCTTCCTGTTCTGCAGTGTGGCTGCATGTAAACTCTGGAGGCATGTGTCCTCCCAAGTGTCACCAGGGACCCTGTTAGAAGACACCCTTCGCACACACACATGTTCCTTCTCTCCAGACTCAGCAATAAACTGGACATGGACCGAGGCATTGGGAACTGTGTAACCAGAAGATCCAGCCGCAACCTCTCCAGGGAAGTCTAAACATGGTATTAGGGAGTATACCCTCCCCAGGTATGTTTCACTGTGGGCTATTAATACGTGTCCTGTTATATGCCATTATGGATGCTTCCTTAATGCCAGTTAGTAATTCCTTAAATGCACCCCACACCCATGGAGATCTTCTCCAGGAGCCTCCATGCCACCAGATGATTTATTGGCTCTTTCGTGAAGACCCATGGGAGGAAGAAATGTTTCTCAGTTTAAGTAGCAAGAATAACTATGCTTCTTCAGTACCATTCTGGTTTGGTTCATGGACAATGTGAACACGCATTTGCTGGTTTCACACCAAGGGCAATGGCCAGGAAACTCAGGGCTCTGGGAAGTGGGCAAATGGGTCTCGAGACCGTCACACCTTTGGCGTGTCTCCCCTTCTGGCTTAGTTCTCCCTGATTTCCCCCTTTGCTTTGATTGTCTCAAGCATTCTTAACCTACTGTCCATTAGACACTAAGTACATCGCGCAAGTAAAAATGTAAATAGTAACATGGCTTTGAACAAAATATCAAGACTTAAATCTTCAATTTCCATCTCATTCAGCTTGCTGTTCTTCCTTTTGTATTTGCTCTCAGTGGCGAAACTCAGTGAAGAGACTGGAAAGGTATCTTAGTGATGGAACGCAAGGGCGGCCTTGGATTCTGCCTCCAGTGCATCACACACTCACATACACACTCACACACACACTCATACACATACACAATTTAATTACTTAAACTCAAAGATGAGGGCTTCTTGGAAATTAAAAAGAACAACGTTCAGGCTTTCCATGTTTTCCCTGCCGCTTTCATATGCACCTACATAATTAATACATTTAATAATTTCCGCCTTTATTTCCCAGGAATGAACAGCACTGCTCTGAGCTTTGTCAACCTATAAATGGTTTTCCAGTATGTAGGCAACAAACTTAGCAAAGTAGACCCAGAAAGAAGAAGCGCTTATTTTTTTTCTTATTTCTGTGTTTTTCTTATTTCTTATGTCAAATTTTGTTTTAGGATCATTTGAATTTATACCATTTATTTACCCATTTATATTGTGTGCATGTATGCACACTTGTGGGGGGGGTGGGAGGATATGAGGGTCATGACACAGACATGTGGAGCTCAGAGGACACCTTGAAGTTTGGCTTCTTCGACGGACACCCGCTTCACAATATTCCATGAAGCACAGAAAACAGTGCCATCTCCTTTACTTTGGGGCCCATCATCCCTTGGTTGCTAAGTAAGCAGGATTCACTTTCAAGTCCCTCCCAGACGGTGATTACAAACTTTAGCTGCACCCGGATCCCCTCATGTTCCTACACGCCCACAAGCATACATCGATGATCATCATTTCATCATTTATCATGGGCGCTGACTCACTCCATGCTGGGGACATCGAACTAAATATTTGCTGAATAAATCTTCCAAGCTGCTACCAGAAACGGGAGGTGTTGGAAACAAAGAAGTCAACACAGAAAGCAGAATAAGTGCAGCTGTGGGAAATGGGAACTGTGATATCTCTGTCTCTCTCTTTCTGCAAGCAATGGGAAAGTCCATTTCTCTGTACCGAAGCTGAAAGGCAAAAGCACTTCTGGTATCTTTTGGCTTCAAAGAAGCAATCTGAAACTGTGTTTTTGTTCTGTTCCGTCTTCTTTAACTTCAGGGGGAGAGAGGGAGAATAAAGAAAGAACAGATGTAACACACACATCTTTAACTAGTCATCCTTTTCCTTGAGTACCTGCCTGACCTTTGCCTGTATTATTACAAATACCTTCGAACCTTGACTTCTAGAAAGCACGGTATGAAAGTCAAGGGAATGGGCCTACCACCCGATCCGGTGGATGGAAAGTGACAGAGACAAGCAGGGAAGAAACTGAAATGAAACGTCGAGGAGCTAAATGCTTCTTGCAACTAGATTGTTAAAGACACTCTTCCTTTGGCCCCCGACTTAACCCCAGGAATGGATCTAGACAAGCAGGCCATAGTTCTTTCTTACACCACATTTTCCATTTACTTCAGGAAATGTGAGGTCAACTTTCTATCTGACTCCATTAGCTGTTGAGTTATTCCCTCTATGCCTTCAAACATTGTGGCACTGATGTCTACGACCGAGGCCTTTGGTCTTCAACAGGAAAGTCTGTTTCCTTCGGGACCCTTCAGAATGTCTATCCAGCAGAAACAAGGAAGAATCAAGCTGTAGCTTCGGGCACACTGAGTTTTCCACGCCAATATTGCCAACAGAAGTAAAAATAAAGGAATTAGGAAAAACATGTTTAAAATAGCACACTGGATTTGCTGATACTTACTAAAACAAGCTACTAGATTTCCAAGTAAATCCTGTTGTTGAAAATGTGTTGTGGTTACTACCTCGAAGAGTCTATGCCTATGCTTGGGCATGTGTGACAGTTTGTTTTTTATGTAAACTTGTCACAAATTAAAATCTCCTTATTAGAGAGCTTTGATTGAGGGGTTGTCCCAAGTGCCTTATGATACAGGAAGACCCACTGGGACTGTGGGCAGCATCCTCCGGTAGCAGCCTAGATGGAAAAGGGTGCGACAGCAGAGCGACCATTTGCCCTGTGATCTCTTCACCTTCCCTCCCTCTTACCCCCTTGGCCTTCTCTCTTGCAGATGGGACTGCTTCCTTCGCTGATATCAGAACTGGAACTCCAGAGTTTCCGTCGTCACTGAGACCCGCTCTCTAGGAACTCGCAGCCTCAGAACCAACACTCCGGAGTTTGCGATGTCACTGAGGCCCGTGCTACAGGAACTTTCGGCACCAGATTGGGACTGCTGAGGCAGCCACCCTCATGGGCACAACTGCAGGTTCTCAGCCTGCCAGTGTGAAACAGCCATCGTGGAACCGCTCCACTGCTGAGACACCTGGCCTCAACAACCACCAGATTCCAGAGGCTCTGCCTCTCGGGTGGGAGGCTGCTGCTCTCGCTATTTGAGCATAAACTATCTATTGTCTGTCTATCTCTCTGTCTACATATCATATGTGTACACACACACACACACACGGACGCACACACGAATGCACGCACGCACATATCCTACCAGTGAAGCCTACACACCCTTGCTCTCTGATGTGTTCTGCCTTCCGTCTTACTCTCCATTTCTCTTAGCCTTCATGCTAAAACCCACATTAAAATACCTTTGTTTGCCCTGCACTCAGCTTCACTTTTTTTTTTAAACTGAGTTGTCTTTGGAACTATAAACAGGAAGATATGGTTTCCATTTCCAGTTTTATGCATCACGAAAATTTCTGATGAGCACTTTGAAGCTACTCTAGCAAAAAACCCAGCCTTTTGCCTGAAAGTGGTCTTTGGTGAAGAAAAATGCACTTTTAAGTGTGGAATATCTGTCCTGGAGATGGAAGGACGGGATGATAAGGAGCGGTTTCAAAGCAAACACTCCAGGTAATGAGCAAAGACAGGATCCCTGAGGACCGAGGGCGTCTAAGCTCTGAGAAGAGTGCTGTAACGTCTGTTAACACAACACTGTTGTCTGCTCTTGTCCCGTGCAGTGAGCCTACTTCTACAAGAGAGGACCAGACCCCAGTCTGAGCACCAGAGAGCCTGAGGGGAGCAGGAGCTGAGAGGCTCCTTAACATCCACACGAGTCCCTTCCTCAAAGGATGTTTCCAGGATGCTGAAATTGGGTAAAGAAGGAAGGAAGTGCGACTTCCATTGCGTTTCAGAAAACAAATATGACAGAATTTCCATGGCTGCTTTTGGCTTGCAGAACGTCATTGGGAACACGGCTGCTTATAAGAAGCCAGGGTGTTAGTGTTACATACTTAGTATTGGGGTAAAGGTGGAGATAATGTCTGGTACAGTTAAAAACAAATGATCCTGTTGCCATGGTTTCCTTCTTTATAAAGTCTTTTCAGCATGAATTGCTGTTGTTGTGTTTAATTTTAGATTCATGCAGATTTTCCACAAATAAGAATTCCTGTACATCTGCAAAGTGGTTTTGTAAAAGCTGTGGGAAACGGGTTTTTGGCAGTCTGGCTTCAACATTTCTATGCAAAATATCCAGGTTCTGGCTTTTTAATAACTACCAAAGGGGAGTGAATAAAGAGAATGGGAACTATGGGCAGCTTCTGATTGTAACAGGGTCCCATTGACCACAGTATTTAAGGCCATATCGAGCATTGAGGACTGGCTCCCAGGGTCACAGGAAGATAGGTGTCCCCCCACACAGTGATTGTCTCAACACCACATCCCTAAGGAACTTTGGCACCAAACATTAACTAGACAAATGAGAATCTACTATGATCAAAGCTTTACTTGTGATCACTGAACCTATAGCACTCAAGTCCAACTCCTTTTCTTGGAGAGGACATTGAAGGACTTGGAATTTTCACCAGCTCTAACATATGGACATGGATTATGTTACTAATGGATATTACATGCTTGAGGATCATGCATGCAAAGGAGGAGTTGACTTTTCCAAATGAAGTCTTCTTTATTTAATTAATATATGATTGCTGAAATCATAAACTTCCCCACCACAATGAAGATGAGAGTTGGATTTTTAAAAAGAAAGAAAATAATGAAAGGGGCCTTAGAGAAATATCAGTCTGAAGGGAAGGGTAATGCTTTGGGGTTTGCTGTAAGCAATCCCAGCTCTTGAGAGGCAAAGGTAGGGTGATGAGAATTTCAAGGCCAGCTTCCACTACTTGACAAGTTCCAGGTTATCTTGTGCTACATAAAATCTTGTCTACACACACACACACACACACACACACACACACACACATACACACACACACACACATACATATAAACAAAAACCAAAAGACCTCATTCAGCCCCACTCAACTCCAAAGAAGAACAAGGAGGATGAAAATGAGAAAATAAGGAGGAGGAGGGAGGCGGGGCGGTGGTGGCACACACCTTTAATCCCAGTACTTGGGAGGCAGAGGCAGGCAGATCTCTGTGAGTTCGAGACCAGCCTGGTCTACAAGAGCTAGTTCGAGGACAACCTCCAAAACAATACCGAGAAACCTTGTCTCTAGAAAACAAAAAACAAACAGACAAAAAACAAGAGGAGGGACAATTGTCTTACTTCGTTTGCAGCAGTCTGCTTCAAGCTGAACATTACCTGGACCTGGGCACTGAGGGACAACCCTGGGGACTTCATCAGTAACAAGTCCTACATAAACCCGTCTTCCCACCAGGCACAACTACAAAAGTTTGGCAGAGCCCTTTTGATGAGTCTGCTTGGCAGTTTGGAAACACTAGGGCAGAAGCCTAGATCTGTAGGCGCCTCGATCCAAAAGGACAGGGAAATTCTGGGGTGAGTCTCCTGGTCTATGCACGTTTGTTTACCCTGCCACACGCCCTTCCGAACACAGAAAGGTGACCTAAGAGATCAGAGGAAGGCAGAGAAGCCGAGCTGGGGTTTCTACAGCCTCGCGAATCTGGTTTCCAGAAGCCGTGGCCTTGGAGAGGAGGTGAGCACAGAGATCGGTGCGACTGTGACCAGATCTCGAATAAAGCTGACTGAAAGGGGTGCAGGCAGGACACAGATTGTGGGGTTGAAAGGCACAGACTCCACAGTCACTCAAGGAAATACTTAGCCAAGTGTGGGGTCTCGTTACAAACCAATCCGTTCAAGGACGGAATCAACCGGAATCTCTAGCACTCAGAATGATAAGCAATGGAAGAATAGAAAACAGCAGATGCGCGTGACTGGGCTAAAAACAAAAAAAAAAGTGAAGGAAGAGCAGCTCACGCGGAAATCGGCGAGCAGGAGAAATGCCTACCTTACCGCGTGTGTGTGGAGGACAAAACACGAAGACAGGAGGGAGAGCGCCACGGTATACGCATGCGGCGGGGAGGGCTGTGATCCCCGAGAGGAGGGAAGGGAAAGACTCTAACAAACAGTATGTGAAGAGAGAATAATCCAGAAGCAATGGAGAAAAGCAATATGAACCCAAAGCTGAGCAAACAGCAAAGACAATCGCCCCTGGGTCTGCTGTTAAGATCTGCTGGCAAGAAAAGCACACAGGTAAACCTCCAAACAGCCAGAGCAAAACCGGAAGCCTTATTTATCCAAAGATCCAGTCAGTCCCTGTTGCAAGTTTCTCAATAGAAATCAACAGAGCTGGGGTGCGGCTCAGCTGCAGAATGCTTGTCTGAGGCCTGGGTTCCAGCCCAGGGCTGTAAACAAACAAACACAGAGAAACAATGTAAAACAATGTAATGCCATCCAAGTTTAAACAACAACAACAAAAAAGTCAACCTGGAAATCTATGCCAAGTGGTAACGATAAGGGTCTTCCAAATTGTGGATGAAAGTGTTTTGACACAAACTGAAACCGTGAGAAATTGTTGCTAACAAATGCAAAACACTCTTTTCAAGTAAAAAGAACATTGTAATAGAAACAAGATGTGCCCGAAGAAACTTTTTAAAGATGAATTCTTAAATTTGTTGGTAAATAAAAATAAATATCAAATGAAAACTACTCACCTTACTTGGCAAACTGTTTATATAACTTAAATGAATACATATATGCATATGTGTGTGTATATATGTGTGTGTGTGTGTGTGTGTGTGTGTGTGTGTGTATGTATTGCAAGATGATCTGAGGTAATGCTCTTGTTCACTATAGAGATTTGTCGCTTGTATTTGCTTAATAAAACACTAGTTGCCAGGCAGGAAGTAAAAATGGGGCTACTAGACTAGGAGAATTCTGGGAAGAAAATGGCAGGCACACAGTTGATAGCCAGACAAAGAGGAAGCAACATGAGAATGTCATACTGAGAAAAGGTACCAAGCCACATCGCTGAACATAGATAAGAATTATGGGTTAATTTAAGTTGTAAGAGTTTGTTAGTGGGGCTGGAGAGATGGCTCAGAGGTTAAGAGCACTGACTGCTCTTCCAGAGGTCCTGAGTTCAATTCCCAGAATCACAAGGTGGCTCACAAGCATCTACAATTCAATCTGGTGCCCTCTTCTGGCATGTAGGCAGAACACTGCATACTAAACAAATAAATAAATCTTTGAAAAAAAAAGTTTGTTAGTAATAAGCCAGATCAATAGGCCAAACAGTTTATAATTAATATAAAAGCCTCTGTGAGTTTATTTGGGATTAAAGAGCTTGGAAGGACAGAAACTTCCTTCTACAGCAAGATATTTGATTGCACTGTGTAATGATATGGTCCTCTGATTGGTTTAATAAAAAGCTGAACGGCCAATAGCTAGGCAGGGTTTCTGGGCACAGAGGATGCTGGGAAGAAGTGTGAGAATGCCAGGAGACTGAAAATAAGCAAGACATGCAGGAGGAGAGGTAACAACCAGGAGCCTTGTGGCAGCACATAGATGAATGGAAATGGGTTAATTTAAGTTATAAGAGCTATTGACTGAGCTTTCATAATTAATAATAAGTCTCCATGTCATGATTTGGGAGCGGCCTCCCTATATATGTAAAAATAACCAGGAAAGAGGAGTCTATCAATTTGAGAGTAAGAGGGGGGATATGAAGAAGTTGGAGGGAGGAGATTTGGGAAGGACGGGAGAGAAAAAACGGGAGGGGTAAAACAACATCATATTTTCATTAAAATGTAAAATTTGAAACTTACAAACTTAAAATTGAATTATTAAACATGAAGTTTAATCTAAATAAGCTGTGACTGGAGATTATCGTAATTTCACCTTATGTGGTAAAATGTTTACATCATTAAAATATATGGCAACAATAGCATAAAAAGCAAGAATGACAATGACTTTGTAGTGGATACAGGATATAGCTGACACATGATAAGCAAAGGTATTTTTAACTCAGTAATGCATATTGTAACTTCTGATATTATTAATGTGTAATTTAAAAATTATAGAAAGGAAAATGGAAAGAAACATACGTCTTATTTATCATAAGGTTTCTGCTAAGCATCCTCTGTGCCCAGAAATCCTGCTTAGCTATTGGCTGCTCAGCTTTTTATTAAACCAAGCAGACTGACAGATCTTTACACAGTGTAATCAAGTATCTAACAACACATACATATTCATTTAAATGATGTAAACAATTTACCAATTAAGGTGAATAATTTTCATTTGATATTTATTTGATTTACCAACATATTTATATGTTTCATATTTATGCATTATATTCCCATTATGGACACTTTCTGTAACTGTATGATGTTCAAACAATACAAAAACATAAAATATAATCAGAAGAGGTTAAAAATATGATAATAAGTTTAATGTCCAGTGTATTAGAGATTAATATGGGAATGGGCTGGGAGAATGTTAAGTGTCTGGGTTTCTTTGAGAATCAAATATACATTGTGTTTGTCACAAAAGAAATGTGGAAATTTTAAGGTGTAGCTACATGTATGTATGCATTTTTCCTTTGTTTATTTACTTTGTTGTATAGCCTAGGCTAACCTTGAACTCAGTATATAGAGGAAAAGTCCTAATCCTCCTGCCTCTGTTCCCCAGGTGTTGGGATCACAGGTGTTCACCAGCATTCCCAGCTTTAATGAGTGCAATGTTTAGAACACCGTTCCATACACGCAAAACACACCTCACTATGTGAGTATTTCACTTTGATACACATTAAAAGCAAACAAAGCCACACACACCAAGATGGAAGGGTCGCTCGGGGAGACACGGAAAGCATTCCCGTACTTGGCTTATACCTGGGATATGAGCTCTTACTGTGTCTACCCTTCTCACCCACTTATGCAGCTGTGCTGGGATTGATGGACAGCCCCTCGGGCAGCACAGGTAACATGACGATGATCTTCTTTATTGCTGTGAATTGGAATTTCGTAGCTATGGTTTTGCTGTATAGGATCTATGTGACTCACTGAACACAACAATTAGTAGATGTAACCGGGAGGAGCTAAGCTTTCAATTTCATACAGTTTTACAGGATACGGAACTTGAGG